TATATATATATATATATATATATATATATATATATATATATATATATATGTAGTACATAATTACATTTTTATATACATACATACATATATACAGCCAATAAATGTGAACGTTAAAGCAAAGAAATGTGGCTAGAGATAGAGAGAATCGCATAATAATTACATTCTATGAATTTTTCGCCAATGTACAGAGAAGGAAAAGGAAAGGAAAACGTTCTTAAATATATTTTCTGTATATCGATTTCAAATATTATTAATTATTAAATGAATGAATCAATAAATATGAACTGGAATTATGTATTAATCATTTATTTATTATTATTTATTTATTATTATTTATTATTATTATTTATTTATTTTTTTTTTATTATTTTTTTTTATTATTTATTTTTATTATTATTATTTATTTATTTTTTAATTAGAATGGAAACATGAATTCAATTGGAATTGGTTAAAGTTTCAAGATTTATAATTTATATTTACTTTATATATATTTATATTTACTGTTTTTTTTTTTTTAATATAAATTGTAATGGTATTTTTATTAAATTTATTTATTATTATTTATTGATTCATATAAAAATGTCTTTTTCTTAATTGTATTTTAACTGAATTAAAAATCTCACTTAAACATGAAAAAAGAGAGAAGATTCATGGATTTCTTGAATCACGTCAAGTTTTCGAAAACAGTTGGATAATTGCAGTTAAAGTGAATGAATAAATGAGAATGAATCGATGCTCATTAAGATGAACAATTTTGCTGAATTGCAAAACAAAACAAAAAGTTAATCGATTAAAAATGTTTATTCGGATTAATACATATGTATGTATATATTTGTATTAAATTTATAATAATAAATAAAACATATTTAAATTAATAATAAATACAAATCTGCAAATCCAAAATTTACTAAACACGAAAAATATAATTAAAATGAAATAAAATTAAAAAAAAAATTTTAAAATCTAAAAAAGAAGTCAGAGTATTTTATACTTTTCTAATTTTGTATATATTCTAAAATTATATATTATAATTTTCAATATAAATAATAAATAATAATCTCAGCAACATCGTAAATAGCCCAAAGAGAATGTAGAATTTCAATTCAATTTGAAATAAAAATGGGAAAATAAATCAAATTAATTCCTTGATTATTTATTCTATAAAATATAAAGTAATACATTTCCTAAAATTGGAATTGAATTAACTAATAATAATACAATAATTTTAGCAATTTTTCCATCATATCTAGAATATAATTGTTCAAGTGCCTTCAAGCTCTAATTAAATGAAATGATATGTGAGCATTTGCAATGGGCCGTCGATCCGCAACAGGTTGGCAAGAGACCCGAGCTCCATGGTTCGTGTTTCCCGTTTTTAATAGCCCGCACAGACCGTTAGGCGGGTCATAAGCAGCACTCTTAATGGCCTGCCTGGGCTGCCATGGAGTTGTCGTTCATGCATTACGCCATCTGAATATGGCGCAGTAATTAAATAGCTGAGAACAAGCCGAGCTGACAGATCTGGCCCTGCGAGCTGCAGCAAATTAATTACAGAGGAGCCCTTCCAGTAACTGTAGAGCTTATCAGGTGGCACTAGATATAGAGATTCAGTAAGACGATACAGCTAACCGCAAATGCAAGCAGAGAGACAGACAGTCAGCCAGACAGCAAGGCCAAGGAGAAGTGCTTAAGGCATTGGCAATTTATATTAATTGATTAGACATTAGCTGACAATCAAAGACGAAATCTACAAGAGCGAAGCCTGATTCATTCACTAAACACAGTGCTAGACAGCGTTTATCTAATCTCTGGGGCTGAATCACAGTGAAAGCTGGCGCCAGCATACTGAATGTAACAATCAAATAAGGGTATATAAATTGATATATACTTATATACTATATACCATATATAATGTAGTTGAAACACACGTGCTGATGTCATTTAAACAAGCGTTGAATATTTGTTGTCAATTGGAGGAGGACGTCATCGTCAACAAATGGGTGTTGTCTAGGTGCAAAGAATGCGAAATCTCACATAGACAAAGACAAAGACAGAGAGAGAGAGAGAGAGAGAGAGTGAGAATGAGAGACCTTTGTCTAGCTTGAGTTGTGTTTGAATGCCAAAAAGAGGTTTCTATATACTAGCACTGCTTATCAGCACTATTCGCATTTCATTTAATGCAGTTATTAAAGTTGATTGGCAGCTGCAACTAAGTCATAAATACACATTTCAATTGCTGTTCAATTCAACTTTCAAACCAGCCATAATTAGCCGCATGCGAGCAATATTTATAAACAAATCAAGCTGACCTTTAGTACAGACTTTTGCTCTCTCTAACTCTTCCTCTCTCTCTCACTCTCTCTCTCTCCCTCTCTCTCTATCATTGTCAATGGCGCATGAAATCTTCAATTTTTGACTAGATCTCGTCATCATCATTATTCAACAGCGGAAATGGTGAATCTATTGCTCGTTACACACGGCGTATGCGCATTATGCGCTAATGACTCCTGCATTACGCATACGCACTGTTGCCGCAAAGCTGTTGTAATTGGTGGAGTGACTAGAGTGACTGGAGTGACTACAACGGATTTTGAAAGTGCGTCTTTTTTTTCGTCTTTTCTCTCTCTCTATTTGAATCACCCAATGACCCAGTCGCCCCATGTTATTTTCGTGTCTGACAACAATTGTTGTGCAAGCAAAGTTCAAGTTGAGCCGCCTCAGCTGCTGCTCGCTCGCGCTGCGAGCAAAGTTCAGCTGCAAAGTTCACACAGCTTTCGCAGCTGGCTTTCGCTGCTACTGCCTCGGCTTATCGATTGCCCAGCTAGGACAATAGGCACTCAGGATGTCAGGCTGTCTGTCAGGCAAAATGACAATGCCCGTGGCAATAGGTGGGAATCAGTAGCTGGGCTCGGGTTAATTTTTCATACTCTCAAGTCTTGCAATGAAATCGATCTTTGCCGAGCTTCTCTATGCTGTAAAAATTTATAAATTATTGCAGTTCGAATCACGTTTTTATTTTGTTAATTTGAATGCTATATATTGCAGCAGAATTCTAAGAAATTTCCTATTCATGTTATTATGATAAAGCTACTGCTATTTCTAGAGCTAGTACTATTTCTAGAGCTGGTACTATTTCTAGAACTAGTACTATTTCTAGGGCTAGTACTATTTCTAGGGCTAGTACTATTTCTAGGGCTAGTACTATTTCTAAAGCTACTGCCATTTCTAGGGCTAGTACTATTTCTAAAGTTACTGCTATTTCTAGAGCTACTACTATCTCTAGAGCTAGTATTATTTCTAAAGTTACTGCTATTTCTAGGGCTAGTACTATTTCTAGAGCTAGTACTATATCTAGAGCTAGTACTATTCCTAGAGCTACTACTCTTTCCATGGCCACTATTCATGCCATGACTATTTCTGTGTATTTCTATATCCGCTACAACTATTTGAACGGCTACTACTATTTTTACAGCTACTACTATTTCTCGGGCACCTACTATAACTAAGTCCACTACTACTATCTCTAGTTCTACGGCTACTACCATTTCCATGGGTACTACTATTTCTAAGATTACTAATTTTTCTAGAGCTACTACTGTTTCTATGGCCACTATTCGTGCCATTACTATTTCTAGGGGTATTTCTATATCTGCTACTATTATTTTACAAACCACTACTATTTTTACAGCTACTACTATTTTTACAGCTACTACTATTTGTACAGCTACTACAATTTCTGCAGCCTTTACTATTTCTAGAGCTACAACTTTTTCTAGGGCTACTACTATTTCTAAAACTACTACTATTTCTATAGTTATTATTATTTCTTTTTGCTTCTTTCGCAAACTACTATTTCTATGCTCAATCTACAATAAACCTCTCTAAAATATAACAAATAATATTCGCAATCCTCTGCTTTGCATTGTAATACCATCTCACAAATGGGCAAACTTTAATTTTACAATGTAAAAAAATCGATTCAATGCGTCTATGTTTTGCAGCTGCTTCGATGACACTTGTATATGCTTAATTGTATGTACGTATTATTATTTACATATATAATATACATTTATATAGATATGTAAATGTTTATAGCCCACGTATTTAGCATTCGACAATATCTTTTGTTCGACTTCGATTTCAGTTTTTTTAATATTGATTTTTGGCTCTGGCGACACACAAGGCTAGCACCCAAAAAGCGAGACCTCGCGCCAAGCCCCAAGCTGACATCAGCCGAAAATATTTGCCAAACAGCTGGCGCTGGTGTCTCTACCTCCCTCCCACCCTCTCTCCTTCTCTCTCTCTCACTCACGTGTTTGTTTGCCAGGCAATTTGTTTGGCTGGCCAAGGCATAGCGCTCAAAGCAAATAGCTTAATATTAGATGCAAGAAAGGTATTTGAACTTTGTGTTAAATGTTTTGACCGCGTTGTCAGGGCAACGCCAAAGGGCGAATTGATTTATTAAGAAATACCTATACTATACCTATACTTAAACATATTTCAATATCTTTGCTCGTGAGGGTTGTCAATGTGCAGGCAACTGGAGATGGGAGTGAAGGGGGTGGACAGACTCTTAAAGCAAATGCCGTGACACACTTTTTGCCTCACGAATAGAGCAAGAGAGAGAGAGAGAGGGAGAAAGAGAGCGCGGCAAAGAGAGAGGAAGAGTGATGATTTTCTAGTGAAAAGTGGGGTTGCAAACGCTTAGCTCTTAACTAAATGCGAGGCGTGGCAACTGTTGTCTCAAGGGTAGGGTAACGTCACGCATCTAATGCGATAACGCACGCAGAGCTCGAGCCGAAAAGCTAAACAACTTGCGGGTCGACTCGCCTGTTATCCTGCATCTTTTGCTTTGAAGTTGTAAATAAAAACATAAATAGAAAATAAGCTCAGTTCACACACACGCAAAATGCCGTGCCCAGTTAACTGTAAGTGGGGTAACTACATTAGATCTATGGGGGTTGCGAGTTGCCTCATATATGTATGTATGTATGTATTTATGTATGTATGTATGTACTCACCATAAACATCCAATTGTTGTTTTTGTTGTAATGTTGTATGCAGGAATTTGCGTTGTTTTATATATTCCGATGCGCAGTTTGAAATATTTTCGTTTGATTTTGCAGGATTTTATATTGAGAGAAGAAACAACAACAACATTTGTATAAATACAAGTAGAACGAAAGTTTTGATTGCATTGGTTAAACGCGGTTTTGGGGGCATTGGTTAGTGGCAGTCAAGCAGGAGTAGGTGTGTGTGTGTGTGTATGTGTCTAGTGCAGCTGAGTGTTTGCTACACTTATGTATGTATGTATGTGTATGTGGGCGTTTAGCAAAATATAAATAAAAACAAATATTGTAGGAGTGGGTGGCAGGAGAAGGCGGTTATGAAAGTAACTGTGGGCAATGCTTAAGCAACATATGGAATACACACGTATATATACAAATACATATAAATATATATATTCATATATACATATTTATACATATATAAAGCAAATTGGCGAAAGTTAAATCTTTCGTCTACTGACACTTGAATCACAAATGTTTTAGCGCACTTTTAGATCGTTAAAAATAAAAGTCAATTTTGTTGTTTTTTGCTTTCAATTGCTTTTTATACACTTGATAACAAATTACAAAACACACAACAAATTTTCTAACTACTTTCCAATTAACTAAAACACAGTCGCTTATTTTCCAAACATTTAAAAATAAAGCCGTTTAGTATGTAGTTTTATTATGATTATATTTTGTTATTGGTATTGCTGTTTCTTGAGATTCAGTTGGAGTTGATTGTTTCTTGCTATTGTTGACAATTTATGTCGATTGTATGATTATTGTTTTTGTTTATTTGTTTCGTTGCTGTTTCATTAGTCGACTTCGACGTGTGATGAATTTTACAAAAGTCGTAAAATTAACTGAAAGAAATTCACATATTGCTTGGGTTGAATTTGAGTTTAAGCTAGGCACAGTTAGAAGTTAGAGATGGGCGCGTGATTACAGCGCGAATCCTCGAACTGTTCAAGGGGATTCGATTTGCGGTTAGCAAGAATAAAAATTTAATAATATATGTACATTTAAATTTGTATACTAATACCAGATATTGATAACGTAAATTCGAATTAGAATTAGAATAAAGTCTTATAAGCAAATAAAGCACGTGCCCAACTCTAGCGTTTTAACATATTGTTAAACTTTTCAATGTCGCGCTGATAAGTTCGACAAACAAAATACAAATTAGGTTGCCCTTAAGATTGACAGCGCAGCGAACGCATACCAATACACACACACGCACACAAGCACACAGGCACGCAAGCTTTGAGCCGTTGTTAGAGCAGAGCAACATAAACAACAGCGAAGCGCCGGCAGCGGCTAACTGAACTGCACAGCTTCATTGACAACTGATTGTCTATACGCACGCACACACACACACTTAGCAATATATGTAAATACATGCCAGCATTTAAGCACACGCACGCACACTATTGTATTGTATTGCTCACATTATTGTTTACCGCATTTCGGTATTTACAGACAGAATATGTACAAATTGTATTTAATTTTTGCATAGCTATCAAATATACACACATATATATATGTACAATATATTTATTTTCTACATATTTTGTCGCTAGCTGCCAAAATTCAACCACAAGCTATATATACACACACACACACACTTACAATGGCAGGCTAAACATACGGGTTCTTGTTGTTGTTACTGGCAGTTCTTGCTCTTTCCTTTTTGCATCGTATTTTGTGGGTGATTCTCTAATAGGTGCAACCAACAACAAGATTTGCCGCTGTTTTACTGTAGCCCCAAGCATAAACACACGCACGCACACACATATACACACACACACGCAACACAGCACAGTTGTGATTAGTTCCAATTAGAGAGGGAGAGTTAGAGAAAGAGTGAGAATTGGCACTTATGCAGCACTAAATCTATATAATGCGTTGATTAATTCGAATTTTTCACTTGAAGTTTTGTCGATTTCAGTTTGTGGTTTAAAGTATATACAAAAGAAAATTTGTGCGTTCGTACCACCCGTTCGCGCTCAGCTGTCCAATAAGACTAACTATTTGCAAGTTGAAAAGTTCGATAACGATGACGAGTTCCACATCGAGCCAGTTCAGTGCGAACACGAACGCAGTTCAGGCCATACATGTTGACGAACTAGTTTCTGTACGGGCAGTGTGATTTAAATGTTAAATAGAATATTATTTGTTTTGCTACAGAATTTATGATTATGAATAGCTTAATAATAAATATATTTGGAATGAACGGAAATTCTGAAATGTAATTTTAGTCGTTGCCACACCGCATGCGCAGCTCTAACAAAATTCTGATAAGCTTTCAGTAACGTACATAAGCTGATTGCTATAAAAGTGTCATGTGTTAACAGAAATTCAAAAAATACATTTACATACTTGTTTTACTTTGTTATCTGAGGCCCAATTTTAAATAAAACAAAGTGTTATTTATACATACAAACGCTTGTTTATTTCACTTGACGTTCTTTTAATTTTTGCTTATTATGCATTCTATTCCATTTCGCTCCCGATACGATATCTGCTTATAACTTATGCCACTTAGATCTCTAAATGAATCCGTTGCTGATTTTTATTTTGATCTCAAGTCCAGAACTTATCTCTTCGCTGCTGCCGTTGCCATTGTTGCTGCTTCTGCTTTCGACTCTCCGAGGCCTGCTTTGTTATATGCTTGTATATTGAATATTTCTTGTATATATAAGTATATATGTATATATATATTTAATTTAATACATAAAAATTACGCGCTTACCACTGCACAAGCCTGATTAACTTTATAATCATCTTGTTGGTTCTTCTTTAAAATAGTTCTTTTTTTTTTTTTTTTTTTTTTTTTTTTTTGTTTTTTTTGCAGTTTTTTAGCCAATGCAAAGATCATATATAAAAATACAAAAAATCATAACATTTTCATATACACCGCCCCATATACAATACAATATAGAACTAGGATTAAATATCTCTAAATCGACCTTGCACAATCAATATCAAAAATTATTATTATTTAAAATTAATGTCCCTCCGCATTGTTGTATAAATAAATGTTTCACTTAATAAACAATTTCACTTCGTTATACATATATATTTATATGCCTTAAGAACTAAACTCATCATCTTCAAACGATTTCATATTTCGTATGTTTTTTGTTTTCTTTGTTTTTTTACTTTTTCTCGTCAAGTTCTTGTATAAATTTCACTATTTAGTCTTAATTGTATATGGAAGTTGAAATATGTTCAGAATTCAATCAACTAGGAAAACAATTCGGGTCTCTACTATATAATGGAGTTGGAGGAGAGGAGCAGGTGTGTATCCATGTTACTTCGTATTGGTATTTATGCACGTTTAGGTAATACTTGCGCCCACTCTCTGGTAAGTTGAGAGTGGGGCGTTTTAATAGATAGATAGATTATCAATATCTGTGTTTTATCTAGTTGTATTTATTGTAAGTATTGTTTATGTATGTATATAACGCTAATGCTGAACACCCACACTCAATTCCGCTTTGAAATGTTTTTGAAGACTTTTTGCTTGTTGTTTTTGTTTTGAGTAAATTTCTGATTTTTAAGTTTGATTTACACACAAATTTGCTTGTGTTTTTTTCTTTTTATGAGATCGTTACTTAGGAAAATGTGTTTGTTTTTTTTTTTTTCGTCAGTTTGTCGACTGGGGAAATGTTGTGTAGAGCTCTCAAATGCAACGACTGTATCCATAGTTTTGATTAATTTGATTTCCTTATGGAGCGCATCCATGGAATTGTGACTCTTCTAAATTTGCATTCGTCTTGCTTCATTTTTTCATTCTTTAATACTATACTGCTTACAATGCGTGTATCTAAACATGTATGCATGTGTATGTGTATGTGTGTGTGTGTGTGTGTGTGTGTCTGTGTCTGTATTGGTATACGTATATGTAGAATAGATAGATGCTTGTTAAAATTGTTTTCTTTTCATTTCTTTTTTTGTATTTTTTTTCCTTTGTGGGTTTATTTTTGGCTTATGTTTATATGTTAATATTTACGAGATTTTGATTTTTGTATTTTTTTTGTATTTGGTATTTTAGAAAAGCGAAAACGAAATGCATTTGAAATAAGTGCTCAGAGGCCAGTTGGGATAGGGTTTAAGGACGGGGAGACGAAAGGTTAAACACAGAGCAAAAGTATACATTGCATTTTCTTGTTGTTTTTGTTGTTGTTGTTTGTTGCTGTTGTTCACATTTTGAAATTGTTTATCCTTATGTAAAAATATTGTACAGTTTGTAAATTTACATACTACAATTTGTTGCATCGCACAAAATTTGTTTACAGTTTGCATAACTTAAAAATCAATTAGAATTACAATTAATTGTTTTTCTTTTTTGTTTTTTTTTTTTTGACTAAACTTCCTTTTTGTAAAAAGCTGATACATCATAATTGCATACTTGTATATGCATATATATATAGAGATATATATAGTTATACATATATGTATATATATATAGTTAAGTCTATATATCTATGTAGATATATATATAAATTTGTATATATGTATATGCTTGTATATATGCCCATTACGTTGGGCACTATTAGAATATTTGAATTAAATACAATTAAAATATTTAAAAATTACACATTTAAATATTTGACGCGATTTCTGTTTACATGCAATATATAACTCAGTTCGTGATTCGTGTTCTAGTTTTCTGCCAGAGACACGCCCTGCCGCCTGCCCCAATGCATGGGGCGAGCTCACTTGCAGGACAGTGTATCTTCTTCTTCTTCTTCTTCTTCTTCTAGTTGCTGCTGTTGATCGTGTTCATGATGATGTCGGCAGTAGACAGTATTATAAGAGGCTGCCTCGAGGCTAAGTCGATTTTATTGATCTATCTACGATTGAACTCCGATTTGATAGCTGCAAGCGAAGAGCAGATGATTTATCCAAGCAATCCTAGCTGAGAATTGAGTGTGCTTACCATCTATGATTTCGTTTTTCACTTTCTGTATCTCCAGCCGCATCTCGCGCACTATCTCCGCTTTCAGGGCGTCCAGATCGCTGTTGGACAGTGCCAGCGACAGACCATCGCCATTGACCTGCTATGCAAAGCGGCAATCGGATTAGATCTTAAGTTTCTCACCAAAGTAAACAAATGCGAACTCACCTTGAGTATGGTCTCCTCGCTGGCACTGCCGAAACGCTTGCGCATGGGACGGGGCGATTCGCCGCCACTGTTCGATGTATTGTTGCCATTGGCGCCGCATTGGGCATTGGATGTGGTTGATGTGGTGCTGCTGCTGCTGCCGCCGCCCCCGCCGCTGCTCAGCTTGTGGGGCAGCGTATTTGACTTTTCCCACGGCCGCTGCTTAACTTCCGGCTCCGGGTCAGGCTGCATGGAGAGAAGCGTCAAATGTCAATTGAAATAATTCAAGTGTGTATTTCGCACTCACCTCCTTCTTCTCGGCCTGCGCGCGACGCCTGGCCAGCGTCTTGGCCATCTCGTCCATCATGGAGGCCATGCCATTGGAGCTACGTCCAATGGTGCCATAATTGCCGCTGCCGGCGCTGGAGGTGCTGCTGCCGCTGTTCTCTGGAGCCGATGTGGTGGACTGCAATGGAGAGTTGCTCAATTAGATGAACTTAGCCTTAGCTTCCACTAGGATCTCTTACCTTGTTCTTCTTGAGCTTGAACTGCTGCAGCTGGGAGGCCAGCGAGCCCATTAGATCAGCCTGCGGATCATCTTTCTTGCCTGCACCGCCGGCACCCAAGCCTGGAGGCGGCGGCGGCGGTGGTGGTGCGCCAGGACCACCTTGTGCACCCGGTGCGCCTGGCGGTCCACCCATGGCCGGTGGTGCTGGCGGCGCGGGTGGCTGCGGCGGCGCTGGGGCTCCATTAAACATTTGTGGCGGCGCTGGCGGTGCACCACCGAATGTGGGTGGCGGTGGTGGTGGCGCCGGCGCAGCCCCTGCTCCTCCTGTACCAGTGCTGCTCATGCGATTCAGTGGCGGCGGCATGGGCACACCACCGCCCGGCTGCTGCTGCTGCTGCATCATGGGCGGTGCCATCGGCACTTGCCCATACGGATTCTCCTGCTGCTGCTGCTGCTGCTGCCCCTGCTGGCCATTCAGCTGCACATAGCCGGACGCGGGCATGCCAGGCGGCTGCGGTGCCTGTGGGGCCATCAACTGCTGCTGACTGGAGTAGACAACGCTGTTGGAGCTGGCCGAGCTGGGTATGTGGGCCGGCTGTGTGGCAGCCCCGTATATGGGTCCGCCTCCATTCTGATGCACCGGCGGCATGGGCATCGGCGGCTGTGGCTGTGTCGGGTATTGATGTAGATTGAGATTGGGATTAGAGTTTGAGAGCACATAGTGGGGCTGCTGGTACTGCTGGCGGATGGTGGTTGTAGCGGTGGTGGCGATGGTGGTTGTGGTGGTGGTGGTGGTCATGTGTTGGTGGTTTGGGTTCGTTTTATATATATATATATATATGTAAATATATTTGTATATTTTTATTTGGGAGCATTTGAAGCCAATTGCGGACGTACGAATGTTTGGAATGAAATGAAACAGAAATAGGTAGGTAAACGTAGCGCCATAAGTGGAGGAACACGAGTCACTGGCTCTGGGAGTCAGGCAGACCTACCTGTGGGGGCGCATAGCCCGCTTGGACCATCTGTTGTTGCTGCTGTTGTTGCTGTTGCTGCTGCGCAGTTGTGTAGACGGGCTGCTGTTGTTGGTATGGCTGTTGTTGTTGCTGCTGTTGTTGCTGTTGTTGTTGTTGTTGTGTCTGACCGGGTGCTGGCGGTATCTGCATTTGTGGATTACCCTGCTGCTGTGGCAGGCCATTGGACGTTGGCCCGTTTCCAGTGGGTCCGTAGTGTGAGCCTGGTTGTTGCTGTTGTTGTTGTTGTTGCTGCGGCTGTGGTGCCGGTGGTGCGCTGAGGGAATTCCTTTAGTTTTTGAGCAATTTGTGATGTGATACGACGTAAGTTCGATGAGAATTTGTGAGAGTGTACGTGTGTGTGTGTGTGTGTATTAGAGATTAAATGTCATACAACGTGTATCAAGTGTCAAGCATCGAGTACGACGACAACAAACAGAACGATGTGCATGTTACAGTTATAGAAGATATACATATACATGTGTGTGTGTGTGAAAGAGAGAAGAGAAATGAACGAAATCAAAATTCATATGTCGACTAACTGCATTGATGATGCCTCAACTGTGGCTGCATTCGATCGTGCATGACCCACCTGCTAGTGCGATGATGTCCCTGCGGCGTTGGTGGACTCTGTGGTATATTATTTTGATTTGTCTGCGAGGTGGGCGTCTGTGCCGAGGGCGTTATGTGACCGCCAATCCCATTATTTTGCCGCAATATGGCCGCATCCTCGCTGGTCATTGTACGATAGCCCATATCTTCCTCATAGCCATTGCCATTTGTGGGCTGGCCGGCAGGATTATTGATCACGCGACCGCTCAGAACCTGAACGCAGAAGGAGGAGAAGACAGAGAGGGAGAGAGAGAGAGAGAGAGAGAGTTAATCATAGTCGTATATTCGATATTCATCCAACACTTACCTCTAGGGCATGCATCATGGCACGCGCAAAATTCTCCGCATCGCTCTGGCTGGAAAAGTTGAGACCGTATACAAATTTGGAGTCGCGCCATTGATGGAACGTGGCCGTAGCCTGATTGTATTTGAGACCCTTCAATATGGAACAGTTGATGACCACCTCATGGTCCTGCAGCTTGCGTCCGACCACACGGAATGTGTTGTTCTGCTGATGATGATAGATCTGCACCTTGCTCAGGCCCGACGAGCTGCCCGATGGCACCCACTTCTTCTGGTTGTCATCGTACACCATCACAGAGGCGCGTGCGCCAATAATGCTTTGCTCACTGCAAGGAATTTAGATGAAATTCGTAATTGATCAGCGAGCGTTTACAACAACCTGGAAAACCTATCAAGATTCTGAGCTGACTTAATGATTCATCAGAAAAGCATTAGATGCGCTTTTTGTACAAAGCGACGCGACTTGATTTCCCCCCCAACCACAGCTATGTTTTCCTATTCTCCATCTCCCACTCCGCCGTCTCGGTCTCGGTCTCGATCTCGGCTTTCACACACTGTTTCACACGATTCACCTCGAGTGCAGTGATCTCTCTCTCTCTCCAGGCTGGGAACTGGACAGGAAACGCATTGCGTAGAATATATCGTGCAGCCGACTGAGAAGAAAAAAAAAACAAGCAAAGCGCACACCTGTCATGCAGTTGTCATTGTCGCCGCCGATTAAATAATTCTAATGATCTTTTATGCAACCTTTAACATATTTTTTCTATGATGACAATTAAAGGGCAGCGGCAAAGCAGACACCGACTGCAATAGAAAAATCTTGCTGACCAGAACTGGCCAAGACTTAATGACAGCCAAAGCCAACGCCAAAGCTAAAGCTGAAGCTAGAGCTGAAGCCAAAGCCAACAACAGCAGCCGCAAAACGAGTTGTGCTCGCGGTTTGTTTGCCGTTTTTTTTTTTTTTGCTTTTTCTGTTGGCCAGACGGACAAAGCGCTGAATTCTCGGCTCGATCTGGCTTAAAACTTGACTAGTTTTGCACTTAAATGGAGACCGACATCAGCGTGAAGGAGAGCGGGACAGCGGGACAGCGGGACAGCGGGCAGCGGGCAGACACACAGCTGTGTGCCTCGACTTATATAACCTGACCAGGCTCTGGCAATGTAATGTGTTTCGTGGAACGAAAGTGAAGTTTATCTATGAGATACGTGTAATTTGTTAAGTACGAAGGAGACGACGACGACGACGACGACGACGTGGCCGTCTATGTGGATTAATCATACTCTACTTAAATTAAGCGGGCACAAGTCTCACTCTACTTCTCGCCCTCTCTCTCTCTCACTCTCTCTTCGACTACCACCCCCTCCCTCAGTCACGTTTAAGCATGTGGCCAGCTAATGAGTTGTAATGCAAATTGCATTCCATCATTCCATATGGGTCGCTTGTATCCACAGAGACTTCATTACACCGAATGCAGGTGAAATTTGTGCTGGGTGTTTTCATTTCGCTCGTGTTGTGGATGAATTCGTGCGTTAAGTTGAATGCGCACATTTCCAACACGAACACACACAAAGCACTCAATTTTCTTTTATTTTTTTTCAGTTTCTAATTGGCGTTAAATTAGCCACAGCTTGAGGGGCGCACATTGACTTGGAAAAACCCTGCGCCCTGCCGGCGCAATTCCAATTTCAATTCGATTTAGGGCAGAGGTAATCTCGCTAAACAGACGAATCGAGGCTGTGAACAGGATATGGAGAACTGACCCTGCCTGCCGTAGGTCAATTATTTCCCGAGGGTTTTATATTGAGAAATTTGCATTCAATCACGCTTCAAGATCTGTGACCTTTAGCTCAAGGACGTTGCAGATCGAGAGTGGAGTGGAATAAAGGTTTATAATAAACAAGGAACTGGGGTGGGATAACCAGAAAAATAGGTCAATTATTTCCTGAAGGTTTCTGAATCGAGAGAACCTGGGAGCAGCAAAAATCATGCTTCAAGATCTCTCAGATGAAGACGACTCTACATTGGAGTGGAAAAATGTATAATAAAGGAAAACCTAGGTGATCTTTAGCTCCAGTACTTTGTCCCAGAGTGGAATAATACTTAATGGTAAAGGAAAAACTGGGGGGAAAAATCAGGGAAACGATAAACATACGTTAAACTTGGTTTATCTTTGACCGAGTTATGACGACGTTGAGGGATGCGTTGTATGTGTTGTTGTTGTTGTTGTTGTAGATGCTGTTGCTGTTGTGTTTTATGTCTATGTTGTTGCAGTAGAATGAAATGATGTATATTGCTATAGAGATGCTGACTCGTAGCTGTTGCTGCCGCTGCTGCTGTCGTGGCTGGCGCTCCAAGTGAGAAGGACAGGGAACTGGTGAGTCTAGGCGGAACAGTGGAACAAGTGGAAGTGGAAGTGGAACCAGAATTGGAAGAGAACGGAAGCTGGGACGACGGCGGTGACTGTGACTGGGATTGTGACTGTGACTGTGACTGTGACTGGGGCAGAGGAACGCATTTGCGCAGAGTGGAAAATATAGCGCTGGATGTGGACAGAGGCAGAGTGGATTGGGTAGAGGCTGGACTAGAGACCAGAGTTGAGGCAGAACTGGTGGCTGTTGTGCATGATGATGATGATGTTGATGGAGATGATGATGTGGATGTGGTTGTTGTTGTTGTGAATGTGTTTGTTGTTGATAATGAAGCATCGACATGTTGGCTACCTACGCCCTTGGATGTTACGTACAAGGACTGGTCATTGAGTAGCGATTGTGTCCAGGTGGGCGCCTCATAGATGCCGTTGCTCGTGGGCGTGGCATGCGCCAAGGGCAGCTGCAGCACCAGCTGCTCATGCTCATGATAGGCGGTGGCATTGCGCTGCTGCTGTTGATGCTGGTAATGATGGTACATGGGATGGCGATAGTCGAGCAAATCCAACTCCTGCAGCTCCTCAATGCTGTAGTATTCGCCCATAGTACCCGGCAGGGAGCGACCCTTGGGCGCTGCCTTGCTGCACAGACTCTGGGAGCGCTTGATCATCAGCAGCTGAGAGTCGGACTGCTGATGCTGCTGCTGCTCCTGCAGTTCCTGATTGGCCTGGAACTCGCACATGGCGAGCATCGCATTGGCGGGCTGATGATAGGCCAGAATGGGACCGGAGGCGACAACGCTTCCATTGGACTTCTTGCTGCTGCTGAACGAGGTTTTGGCATAGAGTTTCTTCATGGCCATTAGCTAATAGTAAACATTTGCAGAGGCGGCCACACACACACGCGCGCGCACTGTGATACAATACACAGACACTCTAAAAAGCGATCCCACACACAAGTGTTCGGTCACACGATCACAGCACTAAATAAGTAAATGGAATTTATGTTTGTCTAGGTCCGCTGTGCCCGAAGCAAAAAACACTCTCGGTCTATGCAGCTGCGGCGACTGCTACTTGCGGCTGATCGAAATCGAACCTCGATTCAGACTGAACGCGCCAAACAAGTCTCGCTCGAGACTTGGTCCCACAGACCCAAAGAGCGGGAGAGCGAGAGCGAGTGAGAGAGAGGGAGAGACTAAGATCAAGAGAGATGTAGAGGCAGAGTCTTGTGAGCCACTCACAGGCCTCGACTCGGCTTGACTCGCGCGGTGTGTGTCAAAGACAATGAAGTAACAGCAAACAAAAGTGCAAAGTTGTAAGTGCACGACGAACAGATACCCTAAAATGCAACTATACTTCATATATCTATAAACATATGTAAATATTTGTTGCTATTTACAATTAACTAAATTTATGAAAATATTTTTTATATGTCCACCAATTTGAATTGAAAACAATAAAAATTATATATGAACTTAAACCAATTCTAAATGATTTTATATGAAATGCATAATATTTTAATTGACTTTTGTATTTGTATTTTAACATAACTAAAAACAATATTAAAAATGTTTAAAATTTTATATAATTATAATTATATCAAACTAAAAAAATGTATAAAATTTTTTATTGATTTTTTATAAAATGTTCAATATTTTAATTGACTTGTATATATATATATATAACTATAAAAAATATACATATATAAAATGTATAGCATTTTTATTGATTTTATGTAAGATTCATATTTTAATTAATTTTTTTAGTTTGATTTAACTAAAAAAAATATTAAAAATGTATAAAATTTTAATTGATTTTGTAGTTTGATATAACTAAAAAAAAAAATACATATATATATATAACATGTATACAATTTTAATTGATTTTGTAATTTAATATAACTATAAAAAAATCTATAAAATGTATAAAACTGTAATTTTTATAGAAAATGTATAATATTTTAATAAATTTTTATAGCTTGATAAAACTAAAAAAATTTTAAAAATGTATAAAATTTAAATTGATTTTGTAGTTTGATATCGAGTTGTTGATTTAGTTGATTTAATGTAAGAATATATACTACTACATATATTTATATAATTATTTCATATTATTCTTACATTAGTATTACTATAATAATTCACATATAAATAAGATATATCTGATTATATCTTTGTATAAAAATAAGAAAATATTTCGCTAATAAAAATGTATAAAAACAAAAATTATTTCAGTAGGCTTTAAAATGTAGCTTTAAATTTAACTTTTTTAGATAAACAAAGCAGAATAAATAAAAAAAAAGTAAATTAAAAATATAAATAAATATTTGTATATTTATGTATATATATATATGCACTATCAATCACATCTCCTGCTGCCACTCACATTCAGATTCAGCACCCAAACAAACCCCTCCCCCCACTTGCAATGGGTATCAAGAGTGCAAAGAGAGCGAGAGCCAGCCTAAGTGAGCCGCCGATCAGCGATCGAGGCGGTTTTACTCGCCGCTGAGTGCGCTGCGCGGCATCGAATTGGGCTAAAAGCTAAATAATTACACTTCAAGGCAATAAAATAATGAGATGTGTGCTACGCAGAAGAGCCGAGAGTCGCGAGAGTCAAGAGCCCCACAGCGTTTAGTCTCTGGCTCTGTCTGGCCCCAAACGGAACGGAACAGAGCCGCACAGAATTATTCGGTTTCCCACTTGACGTTGCAATTAAAAACAGAGCTTAGACTCGGCTCGGCTCGGCTCAGCTGTAGACACAGCCGAACCCTTCACAGACACAGACAGACAGACAGACAGACGGACACAGTTCATGTGCCTCAATTGTCCATTCTGTCAGTCGCTCACTCGATCCGCTGTGCTGCGATAATTACTTAAGAAACGAGCTCAATAATTTATATTTCCCCCCGGCGCTGCGTCTATTAAGTGTGTTTTATACTCTATCTCTCTCACTCACTCTAGTGAGCGGGCAGGAGGAACAGCAATACATAGAGCTGGTGGCATGCCATGAAAAATTCATACAACTACAGAAACGTAAGTCTAAGTATGTTTAGCTGAACTGAACTGAGAGCTGTAGAGCTGACTGAATCAGTTTAAATTCTTTTTTTTTTCTATTTCATTTTTTTATTTTTTCTACAACAATTCTTAAGCGTACATTTCCAATTAACATGGCATTTGTCTATTGAGAATATTGTTGCTGTTACAGCTCGTTATAAAGCGCACGTCTGGCCTTTAATGCTGTCTGATTTGAGCAGCGATTATTGTGCGGCTTTAATGGCTTTGTAAGAACAACGCTCTATAGATCATGCCGTTGCTTAAATGATTTGGCAATTTTTTAGCCAGATTTTGGCTCGATCACTCACAGGCAGCCATATGAAATCATTTAAGCTGTTCAAACACACACACACACACACACACACACAGTTACGGTTATCAAATATTGATTTCGATAAGCCTCACATAGGCATACATATGATTCAGCAATGCATTCGAAGCTCTTCACCTTTTAACATTACTCAAAATATTAGTTTAATGCATTTCAATTAGAGTTGAAGTTCCCAGAGAGCGCACTTCAAATCAATTAAAATCTATTAAAGTAGACCCCAAAAAATTGTTTGTGGAGCGAGTATAGCCTACTTTGGGGCATATACCTCACTAGCTGAATATTCAAGTGCAACAGCTGCTCCGGGTGCGGCGCGTCTGCTGCAGTTGCCGGACAAATGTTACCCATTGAGCTGCGCAAGCTGGGCCAAAACCGAGCTGGGCCAAAGCATTCAGTTGGCCAGTTTTAAAGCGAATTCCCTCAGAGACAATGGGGCAACAACGTGTTATATATAATACTCTATATTTATATATATATGATGACACACCCAGAAAATTAGCACCAAAAAAACTGACTGCGTTTTGTGCTTATGAATCAGTTAGCCGAACAGTCAGTCCGTCGTCCATCCGTCCGTCCGTCCGTCCGCCTGTCAGCTCGACAAAAGCCCTGACTAAGCAAACTTTGGGGACGTCGTGACAGGAAGCCAGCGGATGGGCGGCCACTCCCCGCCTGAAGTGAAACGTCAAACAAATTATGGGCATTAAACAAGCGAAAATTCGCTGGGCTGGGCTACACCCAAAAAAAAAAAAAATTCTGCTGATGACCTATAAATGGGCTTAATTTTTTTTCTTTTAGCCCGGCGGCACGTGACGTCTTACACAGGTGCTTCATTTGGCGAAATTAAGCGAGAGCGAGTGCAGACAGCAATTGAGCAGCATCTCATTGATTGGCAATTGAGTTAACCGAAAGCAATTTGAATAAGAGCCAGAGTCAAGCGTCATAATTGAAATGTCCTTCAATCAAATCAAAAGAAAAAAAAAACGAGAGAGAAAAAAGTCTAGACTCGACTCTTGATTACAACGACAATGTAACATGTATCACAATATGTTCATTATGCAATAGATTATATATGTATATTTATTTGTGTTATATTTATATCAAATTAAACTTGAAACTTACGTCATTTCGTTTTAGTTTGTTGTTGTTGCTGTCGCTTAAGGGCGCAAAATGTTTTGTGTGATATTTTGAAGTATGTAGAAAGGGAGAGCGACAGAGACAGGGAGAGATGTTTCCGTTGAATTTCTCCTGGTATACGCCGCCCAGGTGCTGCGCCGTCTCCAAACAGTTAGCTGGTTAATTATAATAATGAGATCTGTAATTGAAGTGCAGAGCAGAAAGAAAAGTTTCGGTTAGAATTACCACTCATAGAGCAAGTTGACATACATTAATCAACTATATTTAGCTGTTGATAAATCAATGAAAGCAGACCTTGAATCAAAAGCCAAGCCAAGCAAGTGAAAACAGCTGCTGAATGCATAAATGATAATCAGAATCCATGCAAAAAAAACAAAAACAGAAATCGCAAACTATATACACACTTATACATATATGTATATATATTTTAATTATATACCCATATCAAAAGCTCGTACTAAATATTGCCATTGATAGAAGACAATGAAGCTTCTCTTTCATGGCCTATTTACTTTTTCTTTCTTTTGGCCCCTTCCAATATTTTTTGTGATATGAAGTCGACGACGGACGGAAAGCTAAGCCCATTTACATAATAAATGTAGAACTAAGAACTAGGCGAAATTTGTGTCACGCTGCTTAGAAAGATTTTTGACCCACTTTTGGGCCATCTCTCGGCGCGCCCCCCTCTCTCTCTCTAATTGTCCACGAAGCATCACTTGCGTCATAGTTTTAGCCGTAGGTCGGCCCTTTGGTAAGTACGCCGTGCGTTTTGTTTATGGGCGTAGAATTCATTCAGTATAATCAACGCTGTGACCACATCCGCGAAAGTAACTACACTGGAGACACTTGATGAACTCTCATCATTTCGGTTAAGCTGTGCGGGCAACAGGCAAACATTCGCCTTTTTTTTATAGCCCACGCGAAAGTAGAGCATATTTACGCATTACTTGGAGTGTGGTGCGGGGGCTTTTGATGAAGACGTTCGCTTAATGAAGTACGCTCAAGAAGATTTTACTGTGCGACTCACAGAAATAATCAGCTAAATTAAACTTTTCTTTGTGGGGGGAACAAAAGAAATTTTATATAAATTATATTGATTATTTATCATATAAATATTTGTATTATATTTATATTGCTTATTGATAGACATTTATATTTTATAATATAGATATTTATCAATGTATTTTATAATATAATATATTTTATTTAATGCATATAAATTTATTATTTATAAATTACTAATTAATTTTAGTTTTTAAAAATATCTTACTAATTATTATTATTATGATTAATTTTTATTATTTATTATTATTATTTTATTAATATTTTTCTATTATTATTATTATTATTAACAATAACATAGAATTTTTATTAGTTTTTATTTATTATTATATATTTATTTATTATTATTTAATTATTAATTTTAGTTTTTAAAAATATTTTACTAATTATTGCTTTTATGGTTAATTTTTATTATTTATTATTATTATTTTATTAACATTTTTCTATTATTATTATTATTAACAAAAACATAGAATTTTTATTAGTTTTTATTTATTGTTATATATTTATTTATTATTATTATTTATTTATTATTATTATTTATTTACTATTATTATTTTTTTATTTATTATAATTTACATATTTATTTTTAGTTTGTATTATTTATTAATAATTATTATATTTTTTATTATAGTTCTATTAAATTTTTATTATTTTTCATTTATTATCATTTCTTTACTACGATTTATTTCTTTGAAATATTTAGTTTAGTCTCTTATCAATATTGCATTAATCATTTGACTTTTCTCTAAGAATTTCGTAGAGAAATTCAAGGCAATACGAGTCAAAAGAGAGCCAATATTCTTTTGTTGACTAATTTGACCTAGTCAAATATTTAATTTAAAATAACTAACCACACTATGTTTTAATTAGATTAAAAACTACAACTAAAATATTCCCAAATTGTCAGAATGAACGAATTAATTCTCACCCAATGAGAAATTCTTTGTGTTGGCGAAACAAACAATTTACACAAAGCCATTGAAGGACTCGTTAAGTGAGACCGGCTCGGGCACATGTGCTGCTTCCTGGTATCCTCCCCTCGCCCGGTGGCCAATTAAAAAGTTCAATTTCGTGAAATGTGCACTCAAGAGGGTTTCCACAAACATCCCTGCCAGCCGGCCATTGTCATTCACTCCCACTCCGTTCAGTTCAGTTACTTCACACTTGGCACTTCCTTTTTGGGTGGATGACAAACAGACAGACAGACGGGCGGACGGACGAGCGGGCGGACGGACGGACGGATGGTCTTGCGGACTGTTTTCGCATTTAACCTGAAGGCAATGAATATGCACCGCAGGGGTCAACAATTTCGAAATACCCTGTACTGCATTCGGGGCGGGCATAGGAGATTTATGTATGTGTAGTTGGGTATACGACATTTATTTTTAAATGGATCTCCAAACGATGAGAGTCGAGTACAAACAGGTCTTCTGTATGCTCTACCAATCATTGCCATTCGATTATAGGACATTCATCTCTACTTTAACTCTGGTCTTCAATGAGTTATAAGACATTCATTGCCAGTTGAGTATAAGACTTTAACTCTAACTGAGAATATAAGTGGATAACAAAATAATCTCTACTCTACAGCTCTAAAATCAATAATTATTATTACCTTTATTCTCTAATCTAGTATAAGACACTGCTCTGCAATGAGGTATAATTCTATAAAGTCACGCAGCAAATATATGTATATAAATCACTATCTCTCAATTACTCATATATGTATACTGCCTAATCAACTACTATTAAACTTCCTCAGCTATTACTATTAGCTCTAATCGGGTATAAGACATTCAGCTCTACATTACTATTTAAAACCACTCGCCTTTACCTGCTTTGCTATGAGCCATAAATTACTATAAGAATAAGTATACGACTCTAGACTCTAGCTGGGAATATATGAGAGGATAAGGCACTCAGCTCTACTCTACAAATCTTACGTATTTCTCTACTCTCCAATGTGCTATAAAACTTTCAAAGCTAGCCGAGCATAGGATCTAAGAATATAAGAGGATTTAACACACTCATCCCCAGCTGAGTATACCTAAGACACCCATCTCTACATTCATACTCCCTACTACTCATCATTACTCTCCAATCAGCTATACAAAATTCATATCCAGCTTAGTATAAGACTATAAGCTCTAGCCTGGCACTCAAGTGGATCATCTCTGGCTGTTCAGACACTCGCCTCTAATCGGTTATAAAACACTCATCGTCGTCTGCCGGGTGTTAGACACGTTCTTGTCATTTAGGCGAAAGGGCACATTTCCAGGAATTTTCATGACTCCTACGTGGCGTTTATACAAGAATGATGTCAGAACTTTAACCCCATACTCAACTCAACTTCAGTTCCAGTTTTACGCTTTCGCAAAGGACAACAAAATGTTTGCATACAGAAAAAAAAAAAAAAAAAACATATTGCACATGGAAATTTCCGCCCCATTTTCGTGCTGTTGTGGTTGTTCGCGTGACTTGGTTGGATTTGTAATTCAGCAGGTTCAAACCAAACATTGAATCAACGTCACTGACTAGAGAGCATAATAATCCCTGCCTGCGAGCAGACGATGAATCGCCTCTAAGCCAATCCCGCTTAACTCATTTGCTTTACTCGTCTGTTGCCGCCATCCATTTATCTTTTTAGCACTCGTTTTGGCCAAGGCGAGACTGGCGACTGTGTCGCAGTTGCCATGGTCGGCTAGATTCCAAAACGGGTTTACTTTTTATATGTATTCAAGCCAGCGCATGCGGACCCTTTTGTCTTTGACTTTGTCGCTGCTTCAGTCTGTCCCTCAATATCTCGGGCTCTCTCTCTCTCTCTCTCTCCCGTGGCTTGAAGAGCTGGCCAAAAAAAATTGTGCTTTAATTTGAATTGCGACTGAATTTGGGTCGCAACTTCAAAGTCGCCGTCAGGGCTTCAACTCTTAACTTTGCTGCGGCATTTGCATTGTAAGTGCCATAGCTGCCTGCTACAAAACCGCTAGTTGAGCCCGTGCTGGCAATTTAGCCTTTTCCGGAAGGGTCCAGTCCCCTCTTAAATAGCTCAGCGTGATTAAAAATTGCAAGAGCTCTCTCTGCAAGAGTAAAAAACCTACAAACATGATTATATTTCTTCAATAATTCAATGCGAATTTATCGGCTTTCTGCAGGTTCTGTACCATTTGACCTCTTTTAAAGCAAATTCTTTTGTAATTACGCATAAATTTCAATAATTTTGGAATGTATTTCACTTTATTTTAACTCCCATTCGTCCTGAATATCAGCTGAATCATTCAGAAAGTCTTTAAAAAATCAATTAATCAAATCAATTATTTCAGTTCTTTATATCTGCGATCTGTCCTATTTTTCTAGGTAAATGACCTACATATATTTTAGCTCTGCTCGACATGTACTTTACATCTTTTCTGATTTGTAACTTTGATCTATCCAGCTCTTCTTCTTAAATGACCTAAAACCCTTAGCTGAATCATTCGGAAACTCTTTTGTAGGAAAAAAAACTCCCAGGCATATCAAAATATTGACATCGTCAGCCAAGCGTTAAGAGATTTTTGCATTTTACCATGACTGGGGCTTCTTAGCTTCTTTGCATCCACAAGCAATTAATTTGTAATCACATCTTCACTCTCAGCTTGAACTTTGCCTGCTGTTGTTTCTGTTTTCGACTGTAGCTGAAATTGACCCTTTAAGAGAATCGGGGAATCAGCCAACCACGCATATGAATTCTGTCTGGCACGCTCCATTTCGTGCTCGATCTTTGGCCAGACTATGAGTAATGTGTGTGTGTGTGTGTGTGTGAGTGTGAGTATGGGGTGTGTACAAATTTATTATTAAACAACATGTACAACATGTTGCAGTTGGTGTTTTGCTTCACTGGCGGACAGACAGCGCGTCAATTAAATGAAGCGGGGGCAACTCGAGCCGAAACTCTTCGATAATTATTGAATAATACTTTCCACACACACACACACACACACACCAGACATGCGATACTCAATTATACACAGTCTTCACTCACGAATGCAGATACAAACAAATATTTCAATAACAAAATATAAAACGAATTAGGGCGCAACAATAGACCTAAAAGATCTATTATTACATTACACACAC